CTAACCAGAAACCTAGCTATATACTCGTGGAATGGCAGCTATGGGTTACTCCTACCATCACTCAGGTTCCAGTAGCCTACATGGTCCCAATCAATCTAGGCGTTTTCATATTCGCCTCGGTCTACGAGTTCATCCTCGCCCTGGATGCGATCCATAACAAAAATAATGTTCTTCTCTTTTCAATCTGCGTCTGCGATGCCTGCAGTTTTGCGTACTCTATTATGCAGTACATTTACATGAGAGGAGCTATCACGCAACTGTTTGACCAGCGCTATGGGTTTCCAACTCTGGTGGATACCACTCGCAACCTCTGGCCCCAGATTCAGCCTGCGGAGATTGTAGTGTCAATAATTACTGGATTTTGCACCCTGATTCTGTGCTTCGTTGTATACTATTTGCATAGGGAGTATTCATGGGTCATCTACAAGTCTGTTCATGGCAGCTTGAAAACACGAATACGCTATCTATTCTACGAGGTGATTTCCACCACCCACGGCTTCACTGGCCTTTGAACTAACAAAAGATGAGCACAGATCTTCTTGGTCCTGATAAAACTCCTCTTTTACTTCCTGCTGGGCTTCATCATCCAATACAACCTGGTGTATGTCCACTTTAAGGAACCGGAGTATACTCTCACAATGTTCCTCATTCCGGCCTCATTCATCGTCATGCTACTTGGTATTTGGCTTGTCCAGCACGAGCGAACCATTGGCGTTGTTGGTATCATTGTGAGCTCCCTTGCTTCCTACCCTGTCAGGCCTCTACGAGGAACTACCGCTGAACCTTTGCAAGACATGCTACCTCGGCCTACTCGTGTATCTCATCAGCCGCATCATCATTCTCTGCGGGGCTGTCACAGCCGGGAAGGACATAATGTTATTCTTTGCATCGGTATCTGTGGTGCTGACTTCTGCAACCATTTTATGCGCCATTATTTGCATCAAGAACTTCGACCGAGGCTTCAAAGCCATCAACCAATCGAAAAATGGCCATGCACAAGAGTCATATTCCATACCCGCGCGAAATTCCCCAGCAGAGCCGTCTCGTCCCCCTTCACGGCTCACGCTTGATTAATATTACGTTTCCGAATTAGATAAGTTAACAAAGCGATGTAACTGAATACTAAGAGGCTTCCGGCCGATTTGACTTCGTATATTACCTAGATCAAGATGTGAATAGAGTCATTTGAGTCAAGTGTGGTTATCTGGTGATGGACTTGACATATATATGCCGATGCTTGCAAGCAGGGTTTCAAAGCCTCAAGAGCGTAGGGGAATGACTGCTTGCAATTCCCTCAAAGTCACACTAAGGACAAGCGTTTAGTTTTGTTGTTTCGTATTAACTCGTAGGTTGCAAGGGAGGAAACCACCAGACACCTGATTCTTCAATATGACTTTATTCTTACTTCTGTTTACTATGCCCCTTGCCTCTCCATACACTAAATCACAGACGCGGACGCTATCTCGTCGATTCGTGCGGTTATACTGTTACCAGGATGGGGGAATCCAGTAATCCTCCCAGGCGCCATGATCTGCATCCCGGAATATATCGATCCCTCCCTCAACGCCATTTTCGCCCACTGTCCACACGCCACTTTCGATCAATTCAGTCCATCGATCAAATAGTCTCTCCAATCTTTGAGCCCGGTGCTCTCCGCCAAATGGGTGAAAAACGCCATGCTGGAAAAGCTGCGTGGATGAGCCAGATGGCACTAGAGTTCCATCACTCCGCCTAGCTCCGTCCTCGTCGGCAAGATTCGGTCGTAGTGTGAATGGGAGTAAAAGGTGGAATCCAGTCTCTTCAGAATCGTATTCGAATCGATTGACCGTTGCACTATATAATCCTGTGGGAACAGGATCACCTTCATTGAATGGTGTATCATTTCTCGATCCAAAGAACAGACGATAAATTTCTTCGTTGAAACTGATCGTGCGCCTATCATCCGCAGATGCAAAGAGGAGGAATGACGGTACATCCCTGCCCTGGCCTTCCGCGTTGAAAATCTGACGCGCTGTGAAGGCTTCTTTATCGTGCGGAACCTCCAGGCCCGGCGCGATTAGCTTGAAACGTGGGGTCCTCACTCGGGTCAGAAAAGAGCGAATAAAGCACTCCTTTGGCACTAAAGCCGTATCGAGGTCTGTATCGGTAAAAAATGGTGTATCTCGGGATATTGGCAAAAGTGACTGCATCCGTGATTCGATCGCGTCCGTGTAGCGGTCCATCGCAGCAACCGTACTATCAATTTGAGCAGCGCAGTATGGGTGCCAACACCATAATCCAATCTGATGTCGCGAATTAACTTCTTCATGGGATAAGTCTCTCTCTTTCCGTGGATCGGCCGTGATCTTTCCCATTCGGAGCATATAGATCCATTGGGTAAGAATCGTCTCTAGGGGGAACCACATATCCCAATGTTCAGCAACAGGCTCGATACTTTCTGAATTCTCGATAGTCAATGGGAACGAGGCACGATGGTTCAGCTGGTCGTAGAGAACACCAAGACAATGGGAGCCTAGATCGGGAGTTGTGTCGTAAATGATCACAAACCGCTCTTTATCCTCGAAATCGCTATCTTCGAGGGGGAAAGACTCGTCGGCAAGTCTCATTCGAAGCCTGCTCACCCAGTAGAAGAATCCCGGCGTCGGATCATAGATTGAATCAAGAAATGAGTTTAATGATGGATCAAGCCGAGCGCGAATGGCGTCAATATTCTCGATCGGCTGGTTGAAGAACCATGACTCCCTGGCTAGGGCGTCGAGATCAGGCGTATTGGTTCCATTACGCGCCATGTAGGCATATGCGACCAGGTAGTTGTGCAATCTGGCGCAGCGTTGAAAATCAAGTGTATCTTCATCGCGCGCTGGATTCTTGTCTGAAACGAGAGCATCTTCGACGTCAAGGATCTGTTCCGGTGTGGTGTTCATGCTGAGGGTTGAGAGGCAAGAAAACAGTCTGTAACAGTCGAGTATGGACGGATGTCTGGTTTTAGATTACGCATACACAGAAGTAGTTAGACCGGTGTCTTCAAATGCACGAAACATGGTATGGTATTGTAAGTATGGTATATCAGTACTAGCACCACTCCCCTGAGGCGCCAGATCGATCAACAATAGAGAGTAGACAACGAAGATAAAGAAAGAAAGAAGAAGCAAGTTGCAAATGAGAGCCTGTTGATATAGCTGACTCTTTGCAAACGTTGCAAACCTCGAACATCTCACTTAAAACAATCTATCTAGCAAACATAAATAACAGATAGTCACAGAAGAGACAATCATGCAGACGGTAACCTCCTGTACTGCGGATCAATAATTTCTAGAGGTTGACCTTCTACACTCAAGACCCCCCTTTTTGCCAGGGTGCCCCTTATGTGCGTTAAGAATAGAGAAGCTTGGAATAGGCGTCCGAAGATCTATATACTCACCCATCTATGGACGGTTAGCGATATTACGTGATGCCACAGCAATCCTGACCTCAGATCCCCAGGGGATCCATCTGTGGTCTGGGGCTCAATGAGGGTCGTTCTCGTCGTGGGTCCAATACTGGCTGTACGGCAAGTGGGAAACGATCCACATGGCCCCAGAGCATGAACCCGCATGGATGGTCTCTGCCAGACTATACCGCCTCGCAGTGTTATCCAACGATCATCGCCACCCCCATGAGAATTTGATTGTCGCAATTCTCTGGGGGAGCCCCCGAGGGAAAGATACCTAGCGAGTGGAGAAATGGTAGAAAGCCCCATGGTTCGCCTCAAGGGAGAAATTATTTCGAGAATTGCAGCTTGTACAATTGCATTTGAGAGTTCCGAGAGAGAAGATGGCTACGATTTACCACTGAGCCAGACCAGTCCTGGCTGAACTATCAAGTGTAAGACGCATGAATTCATTTGCCATAGATATTAGGCAGATATGGGTGCATGTCAGCCTGGCGTCAGCACACTAGCTGCGATGTCATCTACACACTTGCAAGTATGCTGCCATTAGCTCCACTTATTACTAGTAATGCCTAATTAGTCTATTAATTTAGGGTTTTAGATCTCGAGGAGTCTTGAAGTGGGGGAAAATGGTGCCTTTGAAAATTCGGACTTTTTACTTTCCATGTAATCAACGCTTGTTCTCGGGTCTTTGCAATAATCATATCATCTTCGTTTCCAAAAAATCGTGGAAAAGAATACTGTTGTGGTTTGTGCTTAGGCTGCCTGTAGTTACCTCGGGAGGTATGGGAATAGTACAGCCATTACACATGGCTTCATTATGGAATCAAGGTACCCTAGTTCTGCTGGCGTTGTAAGGCACTGGTTATTGCGCATCGAAGGTTGTCGAAGGTTGTCGAAGCACAACGTACTACGAAGGCTTGACATCAGTAGCACCAGTAGGGTTAGACGCCCAAGGCCCTCCAAGAGTCCATGTGTGCCTTATGAATTTCAATACTTTAGTTCCCACTTTCCTTCATCTACCCAGGGTTGTTACCATTATTAAGGCCTTAATGCCTAACATTTGGCCTGAAGTTTGACGGTTAACTATGTACATTGCCTCCGAATTGTACATTATGCCTGTACATTATGCCGGCACGGAATAACCAGGTCCGATGACCTCTTGCCATGTATGAAAATCAAGCTTAGCACCATATAAATTCACCACATTCTAGGGTGGTTCAAATGAAGCTTTTGGCGCCAAATCAATCTACAGATCTCCATTTTTCTCTCTCTGTCATGTATGAAAATAAATAATACGAGAGAGAAAGAATTGGCTTAATCTTTTTCTCATTGCGTCTATCAGCACACAATTTCACATTTTTGTCTCCTTATCATTAGCCAGTTTAGGGATACTAGCGATGCGTTTCTTTGTTGTCTGACAGTAAGCTGCCCTTCCCTCACCTCTGACCGCTCCCCATAACTGGAATAAAACGCTAAAACGCCATTTCCAAGATTCAGTCATCTTTACCTTCAGCCGATACCTTCGAACAAACTCTTCTCTTAACATCACTTTGCTTTCATCTCGAGGATGACAGTCGTTTCATCTTCCCGGTACTCAACCGGTGAGATCGCCACCGCTGAGGCGGCCGAGTCATTTTCATGGGAGGCACCTGTACCGGTCAATCGCTTCTGGGACAGTTTCAGCTACGGCACTGCCCGGAGTTTTCTGGGCAACTTTTCAGATGCCGAACTGGAACAGCTAGCCATCGACCCAGTGGTAATAGACTCCGACAATACCGCAGACCAGCAAAAAAAGCTTCAGCTTCTCCTTCAACTACTTCGAAATAAGCTGGCAAACGAAGAAACGGCACACTCGCGACCTCAGTCACTCTATGATGTCGATTACAAACGGTGGTATGGGCTATAGCAAGGAATATACACACTCGAGAATGAATTGAACCTCCCGCAGGCCGAGGAAACTGTCCGCATGCTAGTGGAGAGAAGGCCGGACGAGTCGAACGTTGTCCCTCTTCATATGCTAGCGGAGTACTTTGTCAAGGCTGGGAAATATAAGGAAGCGGAGGAAATTGCGCGGCCGGTTTGTGAGTGGATGGATGCTTGTTCACACCTCGGCAAAACCTCTCCGCAAGCTATCAACACTCGGGGGATTATCACAAGAGCTCTATGGGGCCAGGGTCCTTCACGACGATCCGAGGCTGAGGCCTTAATTGCCAATATTCGTGAACTTGTTGATGGCATGGGTGAAAGCAAGTTTTGCATTTACCAGAAAGAGGAGGTGAGGCTGAATAAGGAAATGTTGGCTGACCTGAAGCTCGAGATTTAGAAATATTGTTAGAGGCTGGATCATGGGGCTCTCTTGCGCCTCATTACTCGGGTTAGATACTACTTGCTTGCTCGTGGGCTGAAGAATTCTCCCTCCCCTCTCTATTTGTTCTTTTTCCTCAAATTCTCTGTTAGCTTGCAATGCTATTAATTGACTACACTTCTTGCAGTCTGATCATTTCCATCGAGAGATACGAGGCAGATAACACTGGATCAACTTGATTACGTTGTTTCAATAATAAAAGCGCAGCCATATGGTACTCTGGCTGCTTAGGGTTCCGTTTGTATAATACACGATCTTTATAGGGCGATAATTACTACAAGTATAGTTTTAAATGTTTTAAATTGTACTGTCAGAAAAAAGTGCGTGATCAGTGTGAGCATCTGTTAGACCACATTGCCTCCTCCCCACCATAGATTATTCATGGTGACGCTCACGACGCCGTTCTCTCTAATCCATTCGTCTATGTTTCAAAGTTTCGACAACGATGCAGTGTTCCAAAATCAAATGACACGTCCCTAAACAACCCTTCTTCCGTTGTTGTATTACCATTATAATAGTGTAACGGCACCAACGTCACCCCAGCACTTTCAAAGATATCAGTAAGCTAATTCCAATAATAAGCCAATTCAATCGAAATTCATGATGGCGTGTCGTAATCGCTCTATGCACTGATATGCTCGGGCCCAGACAAGAGAGTCATCACCTTGGAACGATTTCAAGTATGTGAAATCACGATCGGATCGGTAGCCCACCTGGCGGAGAAAATTCAAACAGCCGAGCTGTACAGCGTATTCAGGCAATGCCAGGAGATTACTGGTGTCGTGTGGATCCCGAATCCAGTCTGGGTCATCTGCAGAATTTCCATGACCAAGGCTCTCAACCCGAGAAGACGGTATCGTTATAGGGTGCTCTGTATCGAATTTAGTCCTCAGCTCTCATATTTTTGGTCTCCTTCTATATTTGACAGCAAGAAAAGCAGAAAGAGGGCCAAATAATCTCATTCGGCATACCTGGAAGTAGTTCATTCCATATATCCTCTAGTTGATCCGTTGCCTCGAACCCGAAATACGAGGTTTTAATAGCAAACTGATGGTTCTCAAAGGTCTCCCAGTATTATTCAACCATATCCAGTGCAGGAGACCAGGGATAAGTCAGACGATCACATCTTGCATCACTTGGCTCAATTTGAAAAGCTTGAAACACGATCACGGGTACGGCGAAGGCCAAGGCCGCAGAAATAGAATAAAGCAAAGGCACCCTAGCCTTTTCCTTGAATCGGTCAGCCATACCTAGGTAGTGTATGACGTGACTCTAATGAGAGGATTTTAGTATTGATAAAGAGCGATACGGAAGGCCTACCCACTTGAATAACAATGTACAAGGCCTGGTGGTCATTGATTCATGGAAGAGGAACCACAGTCCGATTTGTGCAAAGCACTATAATCTGAAGCCGAATATTGCAGTAGTTAGAAAACTTGCATATTGTGTGCTGACATGGCCATAATCCAAATGCTTACCGTGGATGACCGCACTAGGCCTCAGCTGACAGAATGCTGAAAATGAGATCCTGGGTTGCTGGGTATCTAAGTTTTAGATGAAAGCATTATTACATTGAGAAATCTCTAATTTTGTTGAAGTTTATCAACTCTTGTTTACGATGATCGAAGGCAACTATAAAGTCTTTTGCTGCATTGCCATTAACTGAACCCACCGGCTCTCATCTCACAATATCTGGCTACGAGAGGCTAGAGCGGGCGAACGAGCAAATTACGAATGGCAATGTGAATCCTGCAGATACAAACGAAGAAGACGCAGATTTTCCACTGCTCGAGGAAAGTTTGAAGTATAGGGAGAGTGAAACAAAAAATATTAGCAAGCTTGCGGGCTTCTCCATACGTCCATCTACGGTGTTTTTTCTATGCTTTTCTGTTTTTATCATCAGTTTGCTGTTTTATACGATTTGCTATTATTTCGCGGCAACGGATGCATCGTGTCAACGGCGAATGTGGGCATTCAGTAAGAGAGGTTCCCATCTCCCAGCTATGGCAAAATCCAACTGACAATACAAGGCCCCGAAGCAGATTTTTTGGAATATGAATGGGGACAATACAACTCAGATCTAATATCTCATGAATTTATTGGATTACCTACCCAGGATCGTCGGGATGCATGGGACGATCTTTGGAAGAGTAAGCCATCGTGGCCTTGCATGTTTGAAAATCTCTGACACTAGAGCTTGAATACAGCCGGGCGATTTAGCTTTCCATATGAGAAACTAAGCTTGATCAACAAGTCAACCGAGACCCATGAATGGTGGAGTCTGCCTCCGCCACGAGACAACGAAGTCATCGCCATGTCTGAAGGCAAGTACCAGCCAACCCTTTATTAGCCACCGTTTCGGCCTGCTTGTAACAGGCCCGAAGCTAAGTTTGAACCAGTAATGCATCAGGTTCACTGTGTTGGTGTCTTGTGGCTCTTCGCACATCGGAATGAGTGGGACTTCCGTACAATACTGAACAGGACAGAAGACTTCATGAAGATTCACGCCCGTCACTGTAACATGATGCTGATGAATATGGTGAAGTGCATGGCCGATGTGACACCAGTATTGTTCCAGCGGGATGTGAATAACCCCGTTTCGGGATCTGGGCTAGGAAGGTGGAAACCCATTGACGCGCCACGTCGGTGTAAAAGTTTTGACAGTCTCTGGAACTGTGAGGGGCAGATACTGTGTACCCGAAGACATTGCTCGTCTCTACCCAAAAAACACATAATGTACTATGACATGACATGTCTTCAACAAAGGGATGCATTATGATAACCTCCTATGTATACGTACGTAATGGGCAGGGATATTTGAATTCGAACCATGGACTGTCAAATCTCTCACTTGGAATAGTAGCTAAAATTTGATGCTATTTCACTATTGCAATTGTTTGGATGGTTTATTGTCGGTCCATTTGATATTACACTGAGCAACAAAAATGTAAATTATAGCAATGCTCCAGAAATGAGAATGCAGTCCTTGGTATATATATGTATTACTTTACAACAACTCTTGATTATCTCTCAGATTTATATGAGGTGTTTGCCGTCTTTGTTTTGTTCAAACGAATCTATTTTTGGTGGTTTTATGAATGCATATCACAAAATCAGGGCCCCCTAGCGATAAATTCCATTGATCTAACTAAACCGAAAGCCCGGTCCCCAATTCGATACTTCAGGTACCTAAATTCCGTTATGTTACATCGCAGTAAGGGAAAAGTACTGGATTGAGAATACACCCTACACCCTACTCTCCCGAGCACGCAATACTGCATAGGGAGTGCTGACCCGATACGAAATTTGCTACATGAACTGGACGAAGTCAACCTTTGTCATTGCACTACTTAAGCTTTCATCGTTGGTCTATTTAGTTTAAGATAAGTTGAATCGTGACTTTGAATCAAAGGCAAATCATAATCTCACTGTTCTTGTATTTGAAAAAAGCTCGTTTCATATAATTATGAACATGCATCCATCGGCTCAATCCACCATGAAAAAGGCATATCCCCCTCCTCGCTACTGCTAATACCGCTAATTCCTATGGCTGCATTTAGGTCTGCACCCTCTCGCACTAGCAACCGTATTATTGGCTCACACTCAGCATCAGCCGCGGCATGTAGCGGGCTTCTACCCTCGTTATCACGAGCTTCTGGGTCCGCGCCCGCGATGAGTAATTCTGCAACAATTTTGATGTGCGCCGTGTGCTGTGTAGTGCAGTGCTGTCCGCCCAGAGTAGTCCCTCCTATTAACGTCAACCCCATATAGTAGCAGGAAACGCACAATCGCCAAATTACCACGCTCGACGCTGATGTGTAGTGCCATTTTACCTTTGTCCTCGGCAATATAACGCTTCGTAGGCTCTCGGGGGCCTCCAATGGCAGCGTCGGCGTAGATACATTGGTTCCAGTCATCCTTTCAGTGTATAGGGCCATCCCCACGGGAGAGCTTCGGCTCACAGTGGATTTTTGCTGTTGAGACTGTCTGGAATATTGCAGAATCTCTTCTGGTGCCTGTTTCTGATGTGTCTCTAGATCTTTTGAGGCCCCAAAGTGATCAGATAAAGAGCAAACCCCGGGCTCGTGGTCCAGTACAAATTTCGGCATTTCTTCCATCATGGCATCAGATCATTTAGTCTCTGAATGGAACTTGTAATGCTGGGGCTCTTATTTCGCCCTGGCAACTTGGCGAGCTGAATGTTAGTGTAACCCTCGCAATCCACACCTTCAGATTGGGGTATGTCTTCTTCAAAACAGACAGGAGCTGGTATCTTCCCCTCAAACTGGGAGTTTCCATCCAAGTTGCACATCTGGCAGTCGTGATTATTACTTTCAGGAGGACATGTATTGCCATTCTTTTGCCGTTGGCTCCCTTTCGTTTGTTTTTCTAGCTCCTTCAGTCGCTGTTGCTGAAGTTCTGCTTGTCGTTTGCCTTGGGGTGCATAGAATTAGGGAATCCGAGTTCACACGGGACTTGAAGGTAGCGATATTGATGGCTTACGACGGTTTCTCTGAGAAATACGGTTTTGAAGTCTCCTTCGCTGCAAGGCTTCAATGGCAGCCTTAGCATCTTGCTGACCATCCATTATCTCTAGGCCTGAAGGTAAGAAAGAAACAGTAGTGTTCAAGATGTGCCGCTCATAATGTGAGAGGATGAAGAAGAGGAATAAAAAAGAAGCGGTAGGCTTATCAACTCCTGCCTAAATAGTACAGATCCTTGCTAGTGGTACATGGATAGGTCTCAGGGATACTACGACAGGCTATCATGACAAATAAATTCCCACCGAATATAACTACCAGCAGCCGAATAGCCATAATAAGTCCATTCAAGGGTCTACGACTCATATTGTATGAGACTAGCCCCTCTAGCCATGACCCCCAAGTGAAATAGGAGGCTTGAATGGTGGGGAAGCGTATGCAAAGGGTCAGTATTGACCAATCTGCTCGGCCAAAACAGACTGCAAGCCTAACACCTATCATGATAGTTAGATATGGCGTAATACGTGTAGCCATATCCTATCTAGCTCGAGGGGCTACTTATTGGCGAATTTCTATTCTGTACAATCGCAACATACAGAGAATAGCGACAGAGAAGAGTAAAATGCGAAAAAAAGAGAGGGAATCTCTCCATCAAGCTGATCCCCAAATGTTTCGATTCCAGTCCCAGGGAATTGGAACCGAAAGTTGGAAGCTGAGCTCGACACGAGGGTCAATGCGGAGAGAGAGGATATAGGCGACAAAAAAACACAGGTCGTCAAGTCCGCCAAATCCCCGCCCTAAGGTCCTACGGATCTCCGGGGTCATGGGCTTGCTTCCGATTGGTGCGGTTCTGTGCTATCTTCCCAAGGCTTAGCACACCTCCAAAAACACACTGTTTTGCTTCGTGGCAAGGTGGGCCAGACTTTTGCAGCCGGCCAGATCCTTACGCGCGATGTTAAGTATAGAGGCCGTAATAGCGGCCGACTATTCTGACTACCTCAATATAGATATAGAACAACTTCTCATCAGGAAGGACAGAAATTAAGGCGGATGAATCGAATCCTAATAGCCAATAGAGACAAGGTCGCTATGCACACCCGCCAGAATCCCCAATTACGAAGGGGCGGGCATAGCGCGCAAGGTCGTTTTCACCATAATGAGGCCTTAATGTCTGAATTTGGCCTGGCAGAAAAAAAAATAACTAAGGATACGTGAATTACCATTACAGAGAGAGCCTTGGCAAAAGAAGCTTCTGGCGCCATACAAATTATTATCTCCATTTTCTAAATGGTTTACTCCAATTCCTATGATTGGTTCATTAAATCTTACTTGTTTTCTTACAAGACACTTAGAAAAATGGAAATAATTAAATTTGTATGGTGCCAAAAGCTTCTTTTGCCCAGGGTCATCAGGCCTGGTTATTCCGTGCTGTCATAATTTACGATACCTACACCCGAAAGCCCACTAAGTCAGATGCCTAAAAGCGGTCTAAATAGGCCCTGACATGGTGAAAACGACCTTTGTACCCTAACGATTAGTGCTAATCTTTAATCTTGACAAAATGGTAGATTGGGAAGAAGAACAAACACAAAACAAGTAAAATCGTATATATACTTGACATCAAAGATGAAACATGACCGTCATTAATGTGTTATATCATTGAGAGGGATTTCTGGCCTCGCCTGGGCCTCTCTCCTTCAATACCGCGAATAAATCTTTTCGTTTGATTGGTTTCGTTAAAAAGAGGTCCATTCCTGACCCATAAGCTTCATGTTGAGCACTAGCACTTGCAAGGCCGGTCATAGCGACAATAGTCGCAGGTCTAAATGATCCTTTTGCTGAAATATCGAGCGTGTTCTGGTATTCCTGCTCAGCCTTGCGAATAAGGCGAGCAGATTCGAATCCGTCCATTACAGGCATGGAGATATCTGTGCTTGTCAGAACAGTCCTTTATTTAGAACAAGGAGACGAACTAACCCATTAGGACCACTCCGAACTTTCCAGGATGGGCTTTGAAAGCGTTCGACGCCTCCAAACCATTGCGGGCAATTGTGTACCTGTATCCTTCTTTCTTCATATGTGCGACCAATATCTGCAGATTGATATCATTGTCTTCAACCAACAAGACTGTCAACGTCGGCTCCTCTTTCCTGGACAATCCCTGTCGAATTGGCAAAGTAATGGCATCACTTTCAGTGTGAGGAAGAGGAGCGTCATTATGTTGCCATGAGTCTCCCATTCCCTCCAACTTGCGATATTCATCATCTATCGCCTGTTTTCCTGCCTGATGCTTTTGGAAATCCATCTCATCTCTAGCACGTTGTGCGTCGATATCCTCCCTGGAAACCAGAGGTGACTTCGTCAACTGAAACACATTCTTCTCTTGAGGTTGATCTATATCAGAGTCATTCCCAATCGGAAATTCCTGACCTTGTTGTCGCTTGATGCAAATGTTAAATGCCTTGGCCAACTTTCGCGGGCCACAGGGCTGGCTGATAAATTCGACGATAGCCTCGTGGTTCGATTGGTTTGCCGCAACAGACATGAGATGTGCTGCCTCTGGCGACTGACAAATCACCACAATTGAAATCATTCGACTCCTAATATTGCCATCTCGAGTTTTTGACAACCACGATTCCCAGGTATTCACCGAGTCGGTATCGGTCTGCACCGCAACATAAAAGTCGCATGAGGGGGGAGAAGTGTCCGACGGAGTCAGGATATGGACATCCATCTCGAACCAGTTCTTGCACAATTTTTCTAAAGAGGTAGAGAGAATTGTATCGCGATCGTGGATGTCAGATGATCCCAGCTCCAGAAGTCCTAGGGTCGTGCCACGTGTAAAGTCTTTGATTCTTAAAATGAGCTCAGGTTTGGAGGGACTCAAGTTGGCATTTTGAATGGGTACGTGGGTAAGAATGACTTCAATCGAGACTTCAGTACCACGACCCCGGAGTGAACTGACTTCGATCTGACCACCCATGGACAGAACCGCATGGTGAACAATGCTGAGCCCGAGTCCGTTTCCGGGGGCAAGCGAGTCTTCTTGTGTGAATGGCGTGAATAGATTATTTTGCAGATACTCCATACTCATCCCGATACCCGTGTCCTTGACCAGCAGGGTCACCTTGAAATCAGAAGGTCCTCCGGGCACGGCGTCTTTGGCATGAGTGACAGGTGATGACGTTAACTTCACTAATATAAAGCCAGCCTTGGTGTACTTCAGGGAGTTGCCGAAAATGTTCATCATGATGCGGCGCCAGGCGCCTATTTGGGTGGAGAATCTCCATTCAGCAGCTTCGTCGATATCCAGGATGATGCTAACCTGACTCGCTTGCTGGGAGGACCCTAATACGTCAAGTTCTATGGGATTCGGACGGTCTATCGTCGTTGACCTTTGTGAACTGTGGTAGAAACTGTAGCCTGCGAAGACACTTTCCATTACCTCTTCCAGGACGGAATCCAGCTGAATATCAGACTTCAAACTGATCATGCCACTATGTCGTGTCCGTCGTGGAGGCTTACTGTAAGGCGATGGGTCTGTGTTTTTGTGTCGTTTAAGATGGATTTTCCGTCCGTGGAGGGCTTTGTTACCTCCTTCCTTCCGGAAATTGTTTATCTTCGAAAAGTCCAGCAAGTGATTGATCGTGTCCAGCAATGTCCGCCCACACGATTCAATCGTGTGTACTAATCCGTGCTGAAGCGCGTCCATCGCCGTGTCTCGGAGTATTTCTGACGTACCAAGAATGCCATGGAGAGGGCTTCGTAACTCGTGTGAGATACTGCTGACCAAATTTGTTTTCGCCTTCTCCGACATTTCGACATCCAGACGATGCACCTCCGCCATGATACTATTTCCAAAGGCTGACAGATAGGTGAGCTCAGTCTCAGATGTGAAGACGCGTCGAGGTGTGTTCGTCCACACCAGAGCACCCGAGAACCATCGAGCTCGGTGGGAATCCCACATCGGAAGGAGAGCGATACTGCGAGCTCCCGGGAAGAGTCGAATGAGAACAATTCCGTCCTCTTTGAGCGTGGCACTGCGCGTCTTTTTCCGACTTCCTGTTCCTCTTTTACCAGTGAGGTCGATGTTGGCCGTCTTTGAACTCTCACGGTCTAACGAGCTATTACAGGGTCCATCACTGCTTTCGTCCGAGGACATCGATCCTTCTTCACTGAAATTGAAAATTTTGCCATGCGGGTAACGCCGCAGAAGCGTCTTCAACAATACTTCCCGGAGGGCAAGTCTTCCTTTTGATTCGTCGTTGATGCTGGATGTAGTGGAAGTCGAGAAGCCTAGGATTTCACACAAGGTCGTATTCTCTGGTGTGCTGTCCTTCCCGAATGCGGTAGAGCTTTTCTGAGAATCAGATTCGGTGCTATCATCGCTGCTGTCCATGGAGCTTTCCAAGGTACCGCTGTCGGAGCCTGGCCCCTTTCGCTTCGTATCGTTGACGAGACCACCATATGATCCGATGCTGGCATCGAAGAAAGCGACGCCTTCGACTTCAATCGACTCGCGGATGATGTTAGCTGCTCGTGAAAATACTTGTCGAACTCCGACAGACAGCATGTCAGCTTGTAGATTCTCGGTCGACGTGCTTCGAACGGAGAAACTACTTTGTGTTTCGGATTTGTTGAGACTTGACGTCTGGTCAAAACTGGCGTTTGAATCCTTGTCAGACAGGGTCGTTGACGACGAGGAAGATGGTCCTGAGGAGAGGCTCTGCGATGGTACACTGGACAAATTGGATGAGGATGATATAAATTGCTCAGAACCATTCTGTGAAGATAATTTTGGCTGCAGCGGCGAGGATGACGGGCGAGTATGGACGGTTGTGAGAAGACCAGATTTGATTTGTACATTTTGCTGCAGTATATTCAGGTGGCCTTCGTTATGTTGCTGTTCATTCAGGCGTAGTCCAGTGTCCTGTACCCACTCATTGCGCAGCGTCGCCTTACCTTCCATAAAACTTCCGAGTCCCACAATCATTCTCTCTGCACGATGATGTTCCGTTGTGGATCGGGCCATGTCCAAGTGCTCCATGACGGTCGATGCCATATTTTGTAGGAACTTTACCAACGGGGCGTCCAATCCGGATCGTGGCTCGTCATCGATAATACAGTAGGATCCGATGGTGATCCCTTTAGGACTGATTATGGGGGCGCCTGCGTAGAACCTTGCTTTGGGAGAGCCGATGACCATGTCCAATTGGTTAAACCGATCATCCTCGCGCAGATCAGGTACCACGTATATACCCTCTACCACGTGTTTATCCTCTGGTTTGAGTTGCGGTAGGGAAGCGACTTGTTGACAGATTCCATCCCCCTTGGGGACAACGCAGCAACCCAACCACAAGGCATCTCGATCATTTTCCACTGTATGATCTTGAAGAGTAAGGGTTTGAGTGGCCTCTGCGAGGATGTAATGTTGGTCCCGACCGAAGAGTGAGATCAAGGCGCGTTGAGCTTTGAACCTTAAAACTCCTAATTGGGCGAAGGCCGTCAAAGCTGTGTCTGGCGATAAGCGGGGAATATATGTAGTACGTTGATTCTGTGCATCCTCATATCTCGTGCCTGGGCCAGGTTGGAAAACTTCGTTGGGTTTAAGATATCTTTTTTTTAATATAGAGTCTTAGTTTGCGATCCGGCACACTCGGGGATAGTGGAAACCTGCCCACATACATACTTGTATAGTTCCCTCTCTTGTGCTAGTTTGAACTTGGGTAGTCCAGCTTGCGGCTCTGGCGGTGACATGAGATGTATGTAGGTAGGGAATTCTGATGATTTTCATCAGGACAGGACAGCCTAGTTTTTAACAGACGGCAGAGCGGCAGAAAACAAGGAATTGCTAGATTTCTAAGTGGATACATGATTGCTCCATACTGAACTGTCAATCGGCCGATGGCTCAATCAGGTCGATCTCCAGTTGGCTCAGGCCTTTCGATGGGGATTCTGCCGAGGGCCAGGGCGGTCATATCCACACCGCCTTTTGGTGGCACGTGACCAGGAAGCCACTTGATGACTAATCATCGCTGCAACATCCTCACCCGTATCACTGGACCTTTGTAGACTCTCCGGGCGTAAATCACATAATAACCGAGTGATGCCGCAACAACACCCCCAAAGATGGCCACACTCCAATTCATAGTAGTCGGGTCCACATCCTTAGTCAAGGGGAAGAAACTAAAGATCCATATCACTAGCAACACCATGATGGAAATGGTGTCACATATGGGGGTGAACTTTCCCATGCTCCAACGTGCCGGTGGTAGGGGCTGGTTGCGCCAGCGTCGAAGACGAACGCAAGTGATGGAAATTATGTAGGAGGACAGAAGGGCAGCTGTTCCGAGGGACATAATAGCATTGAAAGCCACAGAAGACCCAATGTTGATTAGGGAGAGGAGAGAGACGATAACGAGACTGACGCAAAGGGCATTCAGTGGAACGGTGAAGGTTGGGTTAACCTGTTGTCCCCCATTTTAGTTAGAGCAATGGATGGGGGCCGTGTCGGAGAACTCACCTGTGCCAAGAAATTGGAAAAAGGAAGACCCTTGTCTCGAGCAAAAGAGTAGATCTGCCGGGAGGTTGTAGCGACATTACTGATTGCCGCGCAAAATTGCATGGTCATGATCACTACTGTCATGCCTGTTGCGGCGCTAACTGATCCTGTGGCATTGAGGAAGACCTGGATGAATGGAAAGCCTGTTTCAGACTCAAGCACTGCATCAATGTCGCCCACACAGAACGCAAATGTGATTATCATCACTAAGCCGGTGGATCCGTTGAGGATCAATGTCCAGACCATGCCCATGGGGAGCACCCGGGATGCATCTCGAATTTCCTCCGCTGCATTCTGGTATTAGTTATTTCCCCACATAGATCGGGGAATAACAGGATACATACCCATATGAACCGCTGAGTCGGGGCCTTCTCCGCATATGTCGTTAGCAATAGCCAAAATAGGATCCATCAGCGCGCGGACATACCAATCAATGCATAGATGGGACCAACCAGCCCCGCCATACAGGAGAGTCCGTTGTTACCCCAACCACCCCGGTCCTCTATTGAACCGAATACCTCGGAGGCAGGAACTTTGGGGGACAACACCCAAAGTGGGATCAAGATTCCAAAGAAACCGAAGCAATGCACAATCAGGATAATACCTTCGATCAAGGGGAGCTTCTGGGCCAGGAATGTGTTAAACATCAAGGCTACCAGGGCTACCGCAATGACTAGAAGTGTGACATGCCATGGCTCATAGGTATACGTGTCAGGGTAATTTATGGCAACCACACCGACCATCATGTTGGCGACTGTATAGCAGCATCCTGCGATACCGGTGTGCCAACCCAACACGCAAATCCACCCAGTGATGTAACTTAATAGGGCCTGGGAACTAGGGGGTGCGAATTCTGATACCCAATGATACTGGCCGCCGGACAATGGGGCCCTAGAGAGGAAATAAAGGTTAGCAATCTCATCGCCAAGACATGTATTGTGATATGCATACATGGAAGCCATTTCAGCCATTGAGAGAATCACAAAGCTGAACCCTGCCAGACCCCCGAGATAAGTATAGATCATACCCCCTTTGCCACCATTAGTCAACCCATAAGATGAACCACTTATTCAATAGGTCAGCACAGATCCAATATATGAAGTCGGTTATCCTAGTCAAGGCATTGATCAATTTACCGAGAGAGACCTACAAGAGAACTGCTTCCCATGTGCACATAAGTACAGCCGTAAACCCAAGAACCGAAAGAAACCGGAAATTTCTCTGCAGGACGTGTCATTTTTTTTCATTCTTCTTTTTCTCTGATTTTGGTGATTTGGAAAGGAGGACTCAAAAAGGTTGAATAAAGTTACCTACGTTTAGTTCCTGATCTCGCCCGGCTCGCCACATGTCTTGTTTGTCCTGCACTGTGCCTGCCTTCTGGGAGGGGAGGTCCAGGGAGGAGGTCTCCGGCGTGGAGTGTTGAACTTTCAACATGATTCCGTTCTCGCGCCCCATGGCGGATTAATGAGGGGGGGGGAATAAATGAACCGGATCTGAAGAATATATCAGTAAAATGGAGGAAAGAAAGAGCTCCAGAAAGTAGATAAAGGAATTGAGAATACGGTTTCAATGATAGTGCAACTAAGGCGAGAATGTAGTAGTGCTTTTCGGTTAGAAAAATAAATTAATACAACGTACGTGCAGGGGTAGATAATGAGACGTGAAAAAAGCTAGCATAGTAATAATATTTTCTATATTGTATCTTGCGAACCCTGGTCAACAAGCAAGGGTTGTGGTTGGCAGCGGCCGAAGTACGATGCATTAGGGCACGGTCAAACACCATATACAACATAGTACATACTCCACCCCGACCCACGAGCTGTATTTGTACTAGAGGTACTCCGTAAACTAAGCTCTTTTGCGTGATTAATTAGTTCAAAGAGAAAATCTTTCTTCCTTCGGGCTTGGGTGGGGCATTTAAGCACAAGTACCACCCGCGGTCTGCCTCCAGCCGTCCCGCCGAAATCTGGCCCCATTCAGAATAACAATCCCAGCTACGTTATATATATGCACTATATTAGGATCATCTGATAGGGTGCATCGTTATACTAACCTGCGCTTCCTCCGAGATTGGCACTGTGCGTTCCGTAAGGTCCACCAAACTGGTGCTAATTTTCGCAACTACATGGGTCCAGGCTGTACGGAGTACTCCGTACTTTGTGCTGAATACATTATTTTTTATTACCTAGTTTAGATCTTTACATACTAGTTTTTCTGAATTCAGATCAACCCATTAACCCATTACTATATATATCCTTTGCATACTAATCTCACTGGGAGAGCGATAATTACTTGAGATCAGACTTTTCTCGAGAATCGAGTTCGGGTCTGAAAGGCTAAGATATGCTGTAATTTATTAAATCTTAAATTAATTAATTCGCTGTGACCAGCTGCTCTTTAAAATAAGTAAAATGATTTATATAGCGTTCGAATATGCATCACAAACACTTATTACGGGAGATGATTGCATGTACAAGATATCAAGTCTATCAGGACCCCTGTCGCTCATTTAATCATCGGATTCATTCGCGGCAAATATGGCCCCAGTATCTCTCAAAAGTTATAACCATGACCCATCGTGAAATCTCTGCTTTCTCGTCGTGGCATCTCGCCTATCTTGAACGCCCCCATGGAGTCCGTCTCCCCCTATGCAGTCTCCGTCACGAATCGAAGTGGCTTGATTGTCATCGTTGAAACACTGTTCATGACGTGGATGATCATAGTGAGTTTGGTCCGACTATACATGCGTCTCGCGGTCAATGGACCAGTTAAGCTTGATGATGTCGTAGTGTTTACCGGAAGTGTAAGTCTATATTATTCCCCTCCTTCAACCCTCCCTTTTTTTCCCAATCTCATCACCCATTAAATTCTGTCGACATGTCTCTAAGGCTGATCGGGTACTTGCTAGATAATGGCCATTGCCCACGTCGGAAGCATCATGGATGCAGTTTCTCATGGTTTAGGCCGACCTGAGGGCCAAAGCTCTCCGTCGAACTTGATACGCGCTGGAAAAGTCGCCCTCCCTCTTCCCTGAACATCCAATCTCGTCCTTCAAAGCTGCATGAAATAAAAGAAGAAAAAGGAACTAACAAATATCGATTCAGGGCGTTTATGCAGCGAATCTCCTATTTCTTGCTGGGCACGGCGCGGCCAAGATTTCCATATGTTTACTTCTCAAACAACTGGGCCAGAAAAAGAGATACTTGCTCTATTCCAATATGCTTCTGGGCATAGTGACGGTGTGGATGTCTGCTTCGATTATTGCTGTTGCTCTGAGTTGCTTTCCACGATACCAATTCACCATGGCCCAACATTGTAATAATTTTGTACGTTATACTTGCTCACATAGAGCAACACAGCTGACAAGTGAGATCAGGCGATTTCTTGGAAAATCATCACTGTTTTTGATGTGATTACCGATATTCTTGCCTTTGGACTGTGTGTTTCACTAGTATGGGGGGTTCAGATGCGATGGAAGCAAAAGTGGGAGGTGGTTTTTGCGTTTGGGACGAGGGCCCCGTGAGTTCTGATATCACAAAGATGAAGGCAATTAAGAACTACAATGGCTAATCATGTTTCTGAGATGTTTAGGCTTATCATTTTGATTATACTCCGCCAAACCTATCTCAACCGCTCGCTTTTCCATACCGACGCGCCTCTGCATCTATCGGACTCAATAATCGCGACCGCCGTTCTCCTCCACTGCAGCATTATGGTTTCCACTGTGCCATGTCTGAAGCCGTTTGTTATTTTATTCAACACAGGATGGGGGCAGGGCGTCACGAACAGCAAGGGCCAAAATTCGTATTTCACACCAACTAGCAATAGTGCATTGACCAACCAATCTCATGCCTGCTCAATAAACCGAGAAGAGGGGGACGATGTTGATATGCCTATTTCCCGGCAGTCGGACTCGCAGGATAGCCAGCACTCGCAATGTCTGATTATTCGCCAACCGCAAAAGTTGAAAGTGAAGGAAGAGGAGGAGTATGAGATGCAATCTATAAGATAAAACTTAAGCTATAGATAATATACTGTGGAGGGCCTCTTAAGGAAACTCATTGAATTTGATTTATCTAAAATACCATATGTCATTTTGGGAATGGAGCCCTTGCTATGAAAGACAGTACAGCGATCATCCATGGGATCATTTCATTGGTAGTAACTAAGATAGCTAGGGATTGCCTCAGTGGTCTTTCACGTTTGGAAGTCACTTGGCATTGGAAGGTTCCCTTTTTCTATCGAAAGCTGTGCTCTAACACTAGGGGATTGTGACAAGGAACCCCCCCTCCTGCCTGACTTTCCGGGACTCAGCTTACCGCCCTCTAACTAACTATAACTAGTTACGGTTAGTGTTGGACTACACACTTTTATCACATTAACTACTTCATCGTCAACGACTGCTTCAACGACAACTACTTCAACAACTGCTCTAACAACTGCTCTAACAACTGCTTAAATAAGTACTTCAACAAGTACTTCAACAACTGCTCGGGTTGCCGGAATCAAATACGCCACATAATATTCTGAATGAGGCGGCCCCATTGCTCCACCATGCAACATCCGACTAGGACTCTCCTTACCGCCTGTCTCCGAAGCATATTACCATCCGTATCAGCGTTCCTACAAATGTGATAGACCATCCGTTCCGGGTCTGGATAAACTGTTCTTCCGAACACGCCATCTATGAGCCGCTCAGTTGCAATACATATACTGTTCTTCAACACCCTACTCTTCTCTTCTCGCCTTATATCACTTCTGTCCCCATGCCATCGCAATGCCTAATATTTCTTTAGCTCAGTCGAGCGTCTCATCGTGGACTGTGGTCTCCGCAGATCAGTTCAAGACAGCCACAGTTCGAGGAGGCTATTCACAATACTCTTCGTGAGGCTAAGGGCTTTCATGAGCTGGTGATTACCGACATGCCACCAGGGTGGGAGGATTTCCTCTGGGAAGTCGAGAAGGATCTTCCTTCTATTCGAAAATCCTATAGCCCAGAAAGCCGTTGTTTACGACTCAAAATGATGCTAACTTATGCCCATAATTGTATTGACGAATGGATTTCAGTCTCAATTTCCAGAGCCTGCACGATAGGTTGAACCTAGCAGAGCTAGACCTTCTCCTTCTTCAGATAGGCACAAGTGAGTTCAACTGACGACTTTGATCGTAACCTTACTAATACTATGTCCAAAGCACTGTCATTCACAGAAGGTCCAAATCGCGGGCTCCGAAAGGAGCCAGATGCTTTTCTTCACACCCCATCGCAGGCCTTTCCAACTCTTGTCGCAGAGGTTGGATGGAGCGAGTCGTATAATGACTGTTACCCACGAGAGGAATAATATATCATCTTTCTTTCCCCTGAGCTACCAATACCAATGACCTTCTTGATGACATGAATCGGTTACTCATTAGTGGAAACAGAGCGATCAAAATCGGTATTCTTGTTAAGTGGACGAAGCATGCCAATAACTCAGTCAGTGGAGTCCTCGAACTTTACAGAAATGACCGTCAAGGGATCCCAAGATGCACGCAGACTGAGATTATTTCCCCCATGCCTGCTGGTGATCCGCCTCAGTCACTTGACATTCAACGTTACGAAATATACCCTGTCCAGTCTCTTCGCGGTCCAAAGGAGATATCTCCCCTAGAAATTAGCCGCTTACGCTTTCACGCTTAGATTAGTCTTGCGAAGGAGGGGTACCTGCCTGCCTAGCCGCCAGGTTTATCTCTGTGTCCTTCTGGCTTTATTTCACTCTGGCTAGGTATTGTGCAAGAAATATATGAGCAAAATAAAGAAGCAAATAGCAAATAGCGAATAGCGAATAAGAAACAAGCAAACAAGCAAACAATGATCACGATCCGTAGAGTAACATTATTGATAATCATACAGATTATGACACAAATTCTTGCTCTTTTAGATCTATTCGAATCTATGTACGTGACATAAGTTCAAAGCTCGGTTGTATTAGACGACTTGGCAATTTTGGTTCCTAGAGCAGCCCTTCTGCCGTATAGAGCTCTGTACATAATACAGGATAATCCGCATGAGCGGTAGTTTATTCAAAGAGAAGAAAACAATAGACCTTGAAAATGGCCGAAGGTAGTGTTGCGAGAAGCATAATCCTGATGTGCGTCTCATGAAGGCATATATTGGATGATTCAGTCAGGTGAAATTTAATAAAGGGTCCTGCGCCCAGTGGATGTTGTCAAGCCACGCCATGAAATCAAGATTACCATCCAAATCACAACCGTCGAGCCAATTTTCAGACAGATCAATATCCGGAGTCACCGGAGGCAGTTGGGGATATTTAGGTGAAATAATATGATCGAGCACCCGACGAATAAATCTCGACCCTTGTTGGGCAATCTCGTAACTCCCATCTCGTAACTCCCTTCGTGCGGCCGTACCAGGAAGATCAGATGAGAGACAAAAAGATTAAGCTTTTGGATAGCAAATGAACGAATGTTGGCAGGTAACGGGGCTGGTAATAGATTCGATATCTGAGGGCTATGCCCCGAGAGCAGTTTCGAAGTCAGGATTCCTGCTGCAGGAAGACCAATATAGCATAACTAGAAAATGATGAGCTTATAATAAACGTTTCATGGCAGTATTGAGGGGGCCAGAGCAGACTTACATCCCACGACATATTCGCCACCAATTGAGCAGACTGGGTCTGCATGGCAATAATGTCTAATAGAGTAGTAACTATTTCCAAAGAGCTTTCGATGAGTCCTCGCGAGTTGATCCCAAGGCGCTTGAGCAAGATCCGATGTAGCAGAAACTCCTGGTACGTGAATTCTATGTGAGCGAAGGCACGGCCTTCGTCTCGTGCAGATCTGTAAGCACCTGCTGCAGCTTCTTCGGGGGACCGTTGCAAGAATAAGGGAAGGTCTTTTTGCATCTGGCGGGATTGCTGAATCAAAATTCTGTGCGGTTTCTTTTGTCAGTCACTTTATCAATATAAGAAAGTCTATAATGGGATACGAACTCAACTCTGGCTGCAATATGTTGAGTAGTAGGACTCAAAGACAATTCTAAATACTTTCCCGTAACAAGCTCGTTAGTAGCACGACGCGCAGCCTGACGCCAACGGTCAGACCTCCTTCGGTGTTCCAACCATGCGCGTCGAGATTCTGCATTTCCTTTTCTCCTTCGCTTTGTGGGATGATCATCTTGTCATAACTTATGTCTAACGGAAGCGGAATACAACAATATCGAGAGCATATCCGTGGGGGACGCCCCAAAGAGATCGCTAACTCTTTATCAATTGCGTATGCGCACACCATGACTCGCTTTCGTATCTCCACCAAGAAGAACGGAAAGTTTTCTTTGATGTCTTCACCGGATTGATGCAAACCAAATGCGTAAACAATGGTAGATAGATCGCCGAGCTTTTGCCAGACCCTATAATCTATCCGACTTTCAGTCATTCGTTTCTTTTCCAGTGGGTACTATTAAAGGGTTATTACCGCTGTTGCCAAACATCGAAGTCAAGAGAACTAGTTCTGGGTCATGAGCCAGCAAAATGGATCGCTAATCGTTCCAACACCATTGCAAAGTTCGCAACAAATATTTCCAATGGCGGTTGCGGTATTTCTGAGATTGCTCTTTGCAAGTTTCCACGGGTTGCGATGTGTGAAGACCGGGTCATCTTCAGGTGTATGGAATAATGCTGTTCCCAATAGGGCGAAGACAAGTCCAATTGTCTCCCATCTCGCTGTGATTGAATCAAAATAGTCAGGCAAATTTATTGTTGGATGTGTCCGGATATCTTTGGATGTGTTGGCAAATATTTGACGGGACAAGGTGGCTAGCGATGCCTATGACCTTCAGTAGGCCCTGCTTTAGCCCATATTATCATCGCTTCACGGATCGAACTCCACTACAGAACTAGCCTGATGCTCATTCTATCCTGTATATTACCCTCGAATCTCCAGTACTTTGACTTCAATTCATAGACTCCAGGTTTTATTACTCCAGGATAGCTGAAACAGGTTTCCGGTCATATAGCCATAATCTCATCGACCTTTCATGAATTGGTAAGATGGCCGAGTTGGTCTAAGGCGCCAGGTTAAGGTATACCTTGACTCTACAACTAGCAATAGTTTCCTGGTCTCGCAAGAGGCGTGGGTTCAAATCCCACTCTTATCATATTACTTTTTTGTTTTTTTCTCAATCTAAAGCTTTTCTCGGCTCAATTGACTTGTTTTTCGTGTTTTGATGTAGAATTGGGCGGTTGATACATTTTAGGGTCGTGCGTGGCAGATCCTCATTCTACGAGGGATCTCGCCGGCCTGCGGCCGCGAGATAGTTGTGCAGAACGAAACGACTAACTGCTCTTTTTTCATGCCGCCATATGTAAATAAACAATGTAAACAGTGTAAATAAAAAAAAAAAATTTTCCGATTTATTTCGTCTAAGACAAACTACATTATTTGTTTTTCTTCCTCTATACCACTACTTTAAACCACTTTCGCGCCCGCTCTCGATTGGATCTCTCGATTTGTATGTAAGTGAAATATATATATAGGGCGTATATACCGATATTGAGAGTATAGTCCAGAATCCATAATAATAAATAGGTAGGGTCTTATAGCTGAGAGAAAGATACGAAGGCCTAGCTATATACTAACTACAGAGTAGATATCGCATAATACTATTGTCTAACTGCATTAGGATTAGTATATACTCTGATTAGATAGATTGGTGTTTTTCTGCCGGCTGGATGTATTCTGCCGTTTCTCAGCGATTACGTTTTCACCGACTGGATTTCTATTTTTTTCGACCCAGTAGAGAGAGCACCTGGTCACATGATCTCCTTTCGAGGCATTCCCTCCGGGGGCCCTTCCGGGGGACCCCTTCCCAGGGGGGGAAATGAAATGAAATGAAATGAAATGAAATGAAAATGAAATGAAATGAAATGAAAATGAAATGAAATGAAATGAAATGAAATGAAAATGAAATGAAATGAAATGAAATGAAATGAAAATGAAATGAAATGAAATTGAAAAAAGAAAAAAGATATGATAAGAGTGGGATTTGAACCCACGCCCCTTTCGAGACACGGAGACAGTTGTATACCATCGGGATCAGGTTAACCTGAACCGTGCGCCTTGGACCAACTCGGCCATCTTACCAAGCTATGGAAGATCGCAGCATCTTTGGATCTATGACCCCATGACTAAATCAGGCTTTCAGAACCAGACATGCTGCTATTCATTATACTGCTTTACTTGTCAACTCCTTAGGTGGTATAAGTCAACACTATAATTGTATCTTGCTTTACTATCCTTGAGTAATATATCCTTCAGTTAACCGTTGTTAATATGCAGTTGGACCATCGACAGACCAACAGATATATATCCAAGGCTATACATGCACATCAAAGTCACAGCCTTTCCTTCAAACTTGTATAATTAAATTAGCAAGCGTGGCATTGCCTGACCAACACTTCATATTTGTGTGTAACTCCTAGATTTGGCGACCGACATTTGACCCGACCGACAATACATTGAAAGTAGTCTAGACCGTGATTCAATCAATCCCTCTTTCCCATGTAAGACAGACATGCCTCATAAACCTCCCCATAGCCAGGGTACCCGATCATCCTCTGAAACACCCCTTCATCAACCACTCTAATAGACTGAAGGGATCCAGCAATGAAGAAATCAGTGTAGCTTGGCCGCGCACCGAGCACAAACGGTCCGTCCGCCTTGTTTGTCCGGATCAGCTCGCCAACAGCGCCCATGGCGGCGCTAACATCACTCCAGACCTGCTCTTCTTTACCCTCGTCAAGGAGATCTTCAAGACGGTGCCCGAGGGAGGCTTCGCGCGTGCGCCGGAAATACTCTTGTGAGCGTGGCGATAAGATGCGGATCTCGCGTGGCATCACTGACGAGTAGATGGCCTTGCCAAGCACACCGCGTGCCTTGGTCTCGATCTCCCGACCAAGTTCTGATGTTAGTGGTACGGGTGGGTTTGGGTAAATCGACTCTAGGAACTGCGCGATCGGGAGCGAGTCCATAATGTATGTATTGGTTGGCACATGTTGGATTGCGGGGACAGTGTATTTGGATCCCGATGCGGACTTTTCTGGAACCAGGCCACTTGGTGATTCGGGGTTAGCTGGGGGTTTCCTCGCGTGTAAACAGTGCTGGAAAGCATGAAAACACAAGGGTAATCTGTAACGCACAGTTCTTTTAGCGTGGGTTCAATGTCCGGAAACTCGAGGAAAATAGTCTTGTAAGGAATGTTCTTATAGTTGAGCATGAGGCGAATGCGCCAGACAACGGGAGAAAAGCTGACGTGCTTAGTACAGGCCAAATCGTACAAGACGAT